CATTTATTAAAGTAATAGTACATTGTGTAACAATAGTTTTATGAAAAATATATTAATATTGAAATTTAAATACCTTATTATTAAATAATAAGTAATTATGCATAAGTAGATATAATAAGTAAAGTAACTAAAGATTTACTGCTTCTTGATCAATGAGATGGGTGTGCCTGGTGTTTTTTTGCAAGGTTCGCTATATTGGGTTCAAAATTGGTCAATTTTAATTTTCGTCAAAATTGGTCAATTTTGTAATTTTCGTAAAAAAATACAAAGTGTGCTATAGTTTTGTCTCGGGCTGTACTAACTCATATTATTAATGCTTACCTTCTTTTTTGTGCATTGATAATTAAAATTGATATCTAAACTAAACGAATGGTTTTATCGAAACAATAACTAACTATCCAAAACTATAAAAGTTTTAATATCACTGCTCGTCACACGTGACATTTGGACAAGCGCACATATGCTTATGACTTATAAACTGCTCTGAGTTCGTGCCACTGCGGGGTGGTACATAAATACTTGTTTCACCCCAATAAATATGCGTTTATTAATTTATGTTTTATAAAGAAGCTAATATTGAGTCAATTATTAAAAAAATTCACAAATTTTACATACTTAATTAGGTATGTGTGATTTGCGTATTGAGAACTGTCTTTTTTTCGACCCACAATCGACCCTTCCGATTCGGATCGACCCCCATTCGCCCCCCTGTCTCAGATCGACCCCTGCTTTTGTTAAATGGACCCCTGGGGGTCTATATAGACCACTTTGGCGACCTCTGCTTTAATGTATCGAAAAACACATTAAATAAATAATATAATGTAAAATAAACAAAATAAGAAGAAAATAAAAAAAATTAAAAATTGACCACAGGTGGACAACCAACGCCCCCTCGCTCAATGCGGAAATCACGAGAACATGGTCTCAGCCGTTGGACCACGCTTATATGAGGATCGCGCTACAACATAACTTCAAGTACCCTCTCCCGGCTTGCTAAACAGAAGACTTAAGGGGCCATTGCGGCCCCCCTAATAGGATTATAAAATTTTGCTTTGGTAGAGGGGTCCGGCACATAGAGGCCTATATTCGGTCCGAGTTTGAAAATTATAACTTATTATTAAAGAGAAGTAGGTTGGCTTGAAATTTGATCCTTTTTCAGGCCATTTTATTTTATTTTATTTTTTATTCCATTATGCTTTCTTTCACAAAGAGACACCCTTGATTTTATACTTAGAACAACATATTTCACCTGTTAAACTGTCATGAAAGTATTGTAAAAGGAGTTTAAAAAAATAATATAATAAAAATAAACTAATTTTCCGGGATTTTACCAGTTTTTAAGCATTATTTGAAATTTCCCAAATAAAATTTTTTTTCCTTATAGGATCCTTTAATGTATCGAAAAACACATTAAATAAATAAAACATAGCTTCAAGTACCCTCTCCCGGCTTGCTAAACAGAAGATTTAAGGGGCCATTGTGGCCCCCCTATATGGGTTATAAAATTTTGCTTTGGTAGAGGGGTCCGGCACATAGAGGCCTGTATTCGGTCCGAGTTTGAAAATTATAACTTAATAATAAAGGGAAGAAGGTTGGCTTGAAATTTGATCCTTTTTTCCGCCATTTTATTTTTTATTCCATTATGCTTTCTTTCACAAAGAGACACCCTTGATTTGATACTTAGAACAACATATTTCACCTGTTAAACTATCATGAAAGTATTGTAAAAGGAGTTTAAAAAAATAATATAATAAAAATAAACTAATTTTCCGGGATTTTACCAGTTTTTAAGCATTATTTGAAATTTCACGAATAAAATTTTTTTTTCCTTATAGGATCCTTTAATGTATCGAAAAACACATTAAATAAGTAATATAATGTAAAATAAACAAAATAAGAAAAAATTAAAAAAAATTAAAAATTTATCACAGCAGGGGTTTTAACCACCGCCCCCTCGCTCCATGTGTAAATCACTAGCTCATGGTCTTAGCCGT